AAAAACAAAAAGTTTATTTTTTTTTATGGATGTTTTGTACCACCCATTTTTGGAGTGAAAACATGCAGATTAAGTTCATATTACTACTGTTAGTGTAAAAGGTCTTATGTAAACATTTTGAACTTTTAATTCTATTTGTGCTACAGGTGACATTTCGTATTCTGCAACTGATATAATCATTTTGCTACGATGAAAAGTAGCAGAGGGCAATAAATTATGAAATTATACTAATAAATCTTTAAAGTTAAATTTTTCCTATGGATTTTTCGTTCCATCCGTTGAAGGATTACTGAATTTCCGGAAACGGCTTCTTCCACAGATTTTATTCTCATAAGAAAATTTTTAGACCTTTTAATATAGAATTTTTTTAGTAAATGAAAACGATGAGGAAACTATACTGACCCTACTTGGCCGGCTTTTTTTTGCTTTCGGAGCAAACTTCGGAAGCGGGGAGCCCCTTGAGTCCAAAAAACAAATTTTCATCCATTGGCCTGCCTCTCTGTGCAAAGATTATCTCGGAAACGAGTGGATCGATTTTGTTACTACCTTTTTTTTTGTGTTGAAGGGTCTTGATTACCGATGCTTGTGAAACCAATTGGACGCTACCTGCGCAACAGCGGCTGTGCAATAAGATAACAGATTTTTCCGTAGGCTGTAGCACAAAAACGATGTTAATGAAACTTTCCTCCAATTTTCCACTTCGTAAAGTCTTTTTAATGTCCATATATTCAGTCATTTCTCGAGAAATTTTCGAGAAAAGAAAAAAGTTCCATAAAATAAAAAAAAAAAACTGTTTTGGGAGTTAGAAAACTGTTAACTCATCCTACCGGTTTTCAACGGATTTTAACACGTCGGAGCCCCCTGAGTCCTATTATCACCATCTTTCTTGATAATTCTATATGTATTGGCATGTTAATTTTATTAATTTTGTTGGACTTTTTACTATGTTTATGTCACTAGCGGATCCAGAATTTAATTTTGGGGGGGGGGGGGCTTCAGCCCGAAACCTTTTTTTTTCATAAAAATAACGATAATTACTTTGGAAAAACAGAAAGAAACTAACTACCTATATGAAATGGTGTTTAAGTGATTCCTTAAGTGATTTTAGATGTAATTAGATTAACAATAATACTTTAAGAGGTATTTTTAAAAAAAAATTTCCCATAAAACATGGTTATATTTTTCCATTTTGGAGGGGGGCTTCAGCCCGAAAGCCCTCCCCCCCCCCCCGTAGATCCACCCGTGGTTTATGTCAATAAAACATCTAAATGTACCTTTTCTGTAGCTTTTTTGCTAAGATCTAAAGTAATATATTTACTAAATAGTAATAAGCAAGATTCTTGAAGACCAAGACTGTGTGTGCAAGAACAAGACTAAGTTGACGCAAGACCAAAATCAAGACTGCCTCGGTCTCGTCTTGGTCTTGCGTTTGGCTAACACTAGTTACATATATAGGTAAGTCAAAGTAAAAAGTAATATTTTCAATAAATCCAACTATTAACTCACCAAACAGCTCTAGAGCCTTGACCAACTTTAAAATTTCTTTGCTGCAAAAATGCAGTGGTGCAAGGGACATTTCAAATCAATTTCGTCAAACCAAGTCCGATCTTGATGAATAATGTTGTACACTGAATACATTATTTCCCCACAGATATTCTACGGTTCATTTTATGCATATATTATGTTTTAGTTTCGCTTATTCTGTTTGGATTCCGAAAATATGTCTCCATGATCGAAATAAATAAATAATATACAATTTTGTGAGGGAAAATGTTATATTTCTAGAAAGATCAAGGAAATAAGAAATTAAATTTATCTACGAATGGTATTATTTCAAGTTATTCTTTAAATATATTCATAAAGTCATTAATATTTGGTTGCTAGACGAGTTGTACAAATTTATATATATATATATATATATATATATATATATATGTGTGTGTGTGTGTGTGTGTGTGTGTGTGTATTTATTTCCTAAGCCTTAGAATATTTCTTTAGAGAGTATGGCTTTCTTAGGAAATTCTCAGAAACTGAGATGAAAATGTTAAAATAAAACTCAAAATTAAATGAACTTGTCATTGTTATTGAATAAACTATGAATACAAATATTTTATATTTCAAATGCTTATTTCTTCATTTTGAATATTCATTTCGTCTTTAACATCTTTAGTATGACATTTTTCAATTATTTTTTTGCAGGTAATTGAACTTTTTACATATAAAAATTGTATACTGATATAATGAATTTCATCAAAACCGTTAGAGTTGTTTTTGAGAAAATCGTTAAAATATGGTTCGTTCATTATATAAAGTGCCACTTGCGGTTAGCCGATTTCGACGATAAAGTTGCTATAACATACTAAGCATATAAAAACCTTAAATATGCAATTTCACTTTCGTAAGACTTTTCCTTTTTTAGCTAGCCTATTAACACACAAACAGACACGCACACTCAGACCATTTTGCGGGACTTGGTTATTTCGACTCAGTGGACCTCAAAACATGTATTGCTGTTAAAAACTCATATTCGAAAATTTTCACGATCGCAATACTTTCCCTTACTATATATTCCATATATACGTAAGTGAAAGTATAAATGGATACACATTATACGCATGAATTTCATTATTAAGAAGGGGAGGTCACTGCCAGTGGGACTCTGATTTCATTAAAACTTTTAGTTGTGATATCACACCGAAAAATATTGGACACTTGTCGCGGCGTTCGTTCCATTGGACCTTAGGATACAAGAAGAAAATTATTTCATATAATTTTCAAAAAATGTATGTAATCTGTTTTTCTTTTCACTTGTAAAATATAGGGGCTAAATCTCTGGAAATTTTGTCGTCGACCGGTGGAGTCTTGTTGAATTTAATACAATTTTTATGGTTATCGAAATAAGTTCAAAGGTTCTCAGCTAAGGCAAACATTTTATCTGTTGCTTTGAAAATTCGTGTTTAAGGGTTTTTTCAGAAGCATGAAACGAATTCAAACTTTGTTTCTTCCTAAAAAAAATCTTAGGGATTCATCCACATGTTACTACGATTGTTTGTCCAATTTCTTTTAATATTGTGCTTATACTGTAGCTATGTACCAAATATATTTTTTCTAAACCGCCCTGTTATATATCTGGTATAGAGTAAAGATTTTTACATAAAAAACAGGACTGTCTAAGAGAATATATTTGCTCATACTTAAGCAAAAGTAGTGGAAGGAATTCGATGAAATGATATGAAATCATTTCGGTATCAGCACATCATTGAGAACCGAAGAAACCTGAACGCGCACAGCAGCTTGTAGTTCGGGAGCCCGTGGCAAAAAAGATTTGTCCTTATAAATTGACCATGCCCTCAAGACTGATGAGAAAAATGCACGTCTACCAGCATACCGCCGGTGGAATACAAAATGGCGACCAGGTGAACATAGATGGAGATTCAATATCTATAAGTAGAAAATTTATATTGGAAGAGGGCTTACAGATAAATAAAGCTACCAACCATTAAAATTTATAATACTTACTGTCTTAAGATATGAAATAATAATCAGTTACCCCATACCCGTGAAACATTTGAATTCAACGTTTCGAATAGTTCACTTTTTTTTGGCTTTCGCTTGTTTCGGCGAAAATATGTGTTTTAGTGATATTGATGCATTATTTTAAATTAAAGCTGACGAAATTTGCAACAGAAATGATTATATTACTTTTTATATACTTTCTTCAGATGCCTTCAGAATGCCATATTTTCCTCGCACTTGGGTATTTCTCACTATATATCCTACCCTCTTTTTCCAAATGTCTGCTTAGAATTCGCTTATATCTCCAGCCTGCCAGTTGTCCTCAATGGTTTGCAATCTTTCTTTGAGGAATTCCCTTTATACCAATCTTTTTGAAAATAAAGTAGTGCATAGAATATTCGGACCGAAGAAGAATGAGTTAACCGGAGAGTTCAGACGGTTACACAACGCCGAATTGCGTGAACTGTATTCGGGTAATATAATTGAGGTAATTTCATCACGGCGAATCAAATGGGCTTGTAAAGTTGTTAGGCTTAGTAACGAGAGAATTCCTAAAAGGTTAATATTTGCTGTGCCGAAGGGTAAGCGTCCGAGGGATAGACCGAAGCGAAGGTGGGAAGATTGTATTAAAGCCGAAATGAAGGGACCGGGTTTGGACGGCGAACGGTGGAGGGAGATATGTGATAAGCGATTGGTGGTGTCGGCATCGAAACCTTCGGGTTCGCTAAGCCTTTTATTATTATTATTATTATTATTATTATTGGCAGCTGAGTAACTTGATCAATTGTAATCAAGCAGAGGACTTTCATTTTTCTTCTCTTCTCCACTGCCTTTTCGCATGCTTCCCTGAACCATATCTTAGCTTTGTTTCTCCTGAGTACCGATCACTTCCTTAGCTGTTTCTTTTAGTCCTTGCTCTATTTCCTCCCAGTGTTAGTCCACCAAAACTTGAATCAGACAAAACTGATAGGAAAATAAACGTTTACTTTTTCTTCAGTTCAACCTGATGAACGACATCTAATAAAAATAATATTTACCAGATAATAAAAACCATATAAACAGATAAAAAAGCTGTCAGAAATTGGAGCGAATTCACACAACAGGGGATCAAGTGGATGTAAAGAGGTACGAAGTCCGTAAGTTGAAAAATCCTGAAGTAAAAACCAAATTCCAACTTGAGCTGTAAATAAATCTGAATCTTTGGATTTGGATAGCCTCCTGGTGGACCAACACCAAGAGGAAATTGAGAAAGGACTAAAAGAAACAACTAAGTAAGTGATCGGTATCCAGTAAATCCTCTGAAAGATGAAAATTGAAATTACTTGTATCAGATTATCCTGAACATGCCTGAAGAAGCGAAAATTTGGATAAATTTGACAAAAATTAATTATTTATCGAGACAAAAGGCCTTTTTTATACTAATACTTATTGTAGTCTCTTTCCCAAGAACATCTTTTATGGATAATCAATAATTCATTTGTAATAGCAAATAAAAAGTTTTATTTATATATACAAAACATTTGTTACAAAATTAATATCTTAAAAAACGATCATTTAAATAGTCAACAAATAGTTATTTTTCTAACTTTAAAAAATCTTAGTAATAAAATTGAAATTATTTGGGGAATGGGTATTCAGGATGTTTACTCATAGCAGCAAATATTCCAGTAGCTCCAAACATCCTTCCTTCTTCTCCTCTGTCTAATCCTCTGATTTGTTTAAATTCTTCATCACTCAGCTCAAAATTGAAAATCTTAAACAAAAGAAAGTGAGGATTATTTAAATATAAAGCAAAATACCATGTAATAATCATAAATATTTCAGAAGTATTTATCAACTTTAAGTAGTTTAAGAACGTATCACAACATTATTAATTCAAATTTGAGTTTTTATTTGGATTCTACAAGTTAAAATTAATTTACTAATATATATATATATATATATATATATATATATATATATATATATATATATATATGTGTGTATATATAAAGGTGAATATGTAATTATTCCACATACACCAAGACTATTGAATCGATATCAAGAATAAACATTGGATTGTTGTATATATAAGGGTTGAGCTTATTATTATGAGCTGTATGCTGCCTTTGATGCACTGAGGACCAGGCTGCTAAGATAAATTGGACTTTTTGTCTTAAAGGAGAACAGGTTCCCTCAACTGGCGATGGAACAGAAATTGCAGGATTATAAATATTTTTGTTAAAAGTAGAAAGCTGTATTGGTCCTACCACACTTTAATCTTTGAACAAGCAAACCCTCTCCTGAAAGGTCACCAGGCTGAGCCCAAGCAGAAGAAGGCCACCTTCTTGGAAACATGTTCTATTTCGTATATGTTACATATTTTATATGTTTTGTAGAAAGGATAGTATAAAAATGTTATATGCACTCACTACAAAACATAAGTAGCCAAGAGGGATGCTAGGAATGAATTAATGGGATTACAGGAACTTTTTTGCTTGGTTTTTCCTTACTTCTCAATCTTATAGTCATCCAACTCATAAGCCTAGCAAGGTACCCAATATGTTATGAAGGGGGCCAGCCTTGCCAATATTTCGCAATCATTTACTTTAAATTAACCCAAAAAGTTCAATAAACAATTTATTTAATAATTAATATTAAATTACAAATAATAAGTCTATGATGACTTTTATTTATGGCTTTGAACTTCTTCTTCACTCCCATGCATTAAATACTGTTATCATGTTACCTTAGCCTTAGCCTCATAATATGTTCCGAGTGCCGGTGCAAATGGTTCTAACAGACCGCCTATTCTCTATTCCCAATATAATAATATTCAGATTTGCTCTTCCAGTCCCCGAGTTCCTAAACTAAACATTTCTCTGAGCCAATAATTAGTGATTTCTCTATGATTCAATGATTATGGCCTCTGAGAAATAAATTAATTTTGCAAGACCCATACCAAAATTACATACAAAACCTGATTGATGAAAATTGACAGTTTTTAACAACCAATGTTATGGTTGATATGTTATAATACATAAATGCATTAAAAGCTGTTAGCTTCTTTAAATAAGTAAAGTCACGGAACAAAATAGCTGATTATTAACTCATTATTATTGTAACAGCTTACTAGTGCAGCAATTAGTGCACAGTTGTGACTAATTGTAATACATCATACTTACTTCTTTTGTTTTTTTTTTAAATAGGAGGAATAATAAAAACTTACATCAAGATTTTGTTTGATTCTCTCAGGATTAATACTTTTTGGGATAACTGCCACTCCATACTGTATAAGAAATCTCAAAAGTACTTGTGAAGGTGTTTTATTATATTTTTTAGCTATTTCTAATACTAATGGGTCTGCCATTGGACTTAAATTCTTTATCCTGTAAACAAAATAGATTAATAATTATCAATAGATAAATTAAGAAAAAAAATTAAAGTACTTATTTTTTAATCTAATTTGTTAGTTTATTTTTAAAAATTCTTTATGATTTACGTTTATTACAAATAAGTTCTTCATATCTAAGATTGAATATTATTATTTAGAATTATTAGGATATTGCTGTAATGTAATAGATATCTTTGCAATAAATGAAACTAGTGTTAATAATATTAAATATATAAACATATATTAATAGAAATACAAACCCATTTGTAGGTATCCCTATCCTTTCATTAAACTGAATCAGATTCGGAGAACCAAGTGGTGCATATGCACAAACAGTTATACCATTTTCCTTGCAGAAAGACACCAGTTCATTTTGTTGGAAATAAATATGTAATTCAACCTGAAGGTTTGCAGGAGGAATACGGCAGTTATCAAGAATCCTCTTAATCTGATTCATATTGAAGTTTGATAAGCCAATGTTTTTAGCCCTTCCTGCATCAACTTGGGCTTCCATGCCCTAAAACCATTAATATAGTATTTAAAAAAAGTAATAGCTCAAACTTAAAAGATTTGGAGTAATTATTATCAAGGCAATACTTTTTTTTTATTTATAAAATATTTATAGTATTAATAAAAATGTTAGGGTACAAGCATTTTGCTTGATAATTGTATTTATTTACAAGTATTAGGTTAGACAAACAAATAATAATAATAAGGTTTAGTGACCAACTTATATTCTGGATTAGTAATATTTGTGATAGCGAGTTTAATATGTTTAACAAATGTATCGACTTGAGCTTCCTACAGAAATGCTATATTTAACATTTATATCCTTTACATTCATTGTCTTTCATTATCTTTTTTTTTTATATTTATAACCGTCAAAAGAGCAGAAAACACACTAAATGCTATCCTAAAATTGATAATTAATTAATTTCTAAATGGAAATCAATTATAATAACTTGAATAGTATAATATCATTTTCATTACCTTCCACAGCTGAATGATGTCAGTATCCAGGTCTAGCAACAATGTTCCACTCTCATCCCTGGGTAATATTGTACCATCATTCACAAAACCCACTGGACTATGAATTAAGTATAAGTCAACGTAATCCAATTGCAGATATTCAAGAGATTCTTTCAGGAAAGTCTCAACCTCTTCAGCTCTGTTACCAACATTTGGAAGCTTTAAAAATAAAATATAAACTTTTACAATAGGGATTTATTTTTTAGATAAGGCTATGTTTTATCTTGTAGAAAGCCAGCCACTATTTTTAAATATCAATGATTTTAGTAAGTTGACATATAACAACCTTAATACTTTTCTCCACCTTTTATTAATTATATAAGACTTTGTACCAATTGTGTTTCATCAAAAACATCTCAATCTATAATCTTTTATTTATTTTTTACATGATTTATATTCTATTTTATTTCTTAATGTACAATATATATCTTCCTCCCATGTTCTTTTTTATTTATTAGCAAATGTGCACAACTCAGCTTAATTAATATAGACTTGAAGTTTATTAAACACAAAATTTTTCTAATAGTGGTACAATTGGAGACTGGTGAAAAAATCACAAATAATGCCTGATTTTAACAGAAGCTATCTTAGGTTTACCATTTAGAAGCCATCTTGAAATTGTTTTAACAAAGACAAATTGTACTTCTGATTGAAGTAAATTATGACTCATTTAGTGTACTGTATTTTAAAGTCTTATTAATGAAATAATTGTTATTTTATCACTTCCAATTTAACAAAAATGGGACACTAAAAGATACATTAAAATTTTAATTTTCTTCATTACTGCGGAAAATCGATCTATAGTTTATTCAAACTTTTTTATAGCTCCAGATCTATTCTCATTTTTTAAAATATTTCCCATTACTTATTGGGCACTATGTTTAAAAAACTAATATTTTTGTTTGGCTTAAAATGGACAAAACATTTTATTCAAACTAACACTATATTTTATAAAAGTATTTTTTTATCTCAAATGTTTTCTGAATGCTTTTTTCTAATCCAATTTTTAAAATTATTTCAAAGTCATAAAAATATTTCAAAAATTAATTTGCTCATAGGCTCTTTAAATATAAGAAACTTAACTTTCCAATTAGTTTTGTCTCATAAATCATAAACAAAAATTACAAAAAAAAAAAAAAAACACTTATTCCATTAATAAATAACAATGTTTCTCACAAATAAATAATGTAATCCAACTTCTTGTTGCATTAAATCCGCCAATGTCATAAAAACTAATGTTATTTGATTATTGACTACAATATGGCTATAAGAAAAAAGAGCACAAGAAATTCCTAACATAATTTTTAATTAACATTAAATATTGACACATATTAAGGAAATCAAGATATTTTCTGATTTTTTCCAAGTTAATGGACGAATAATATATTTTGTTATTTATTGTTATGTTTTATTATTATTATCCATACCTGAGAGGTAAAGAACACCAAATTAATTTTTTTATGTCAGGAGAGCCAATGTTCCATAACTTTAAGCTATTAAAATTTCTTTCTTAGTTACTAAATCTATATCCCAGAGATAAAAGACACCATGTCACATTTTTTTATTGTTCAAGGAAACCTATTTGCCATAAATTTGAGCTATTAAAGTTTGTTTCTTAGTTAATAAATTATTTAATAAATAAATGGATATGGTGTCCTTTACCTCTGGGGAACAGATATGTTTTCATATTCATCCATCTATCCATCTTTATCTTTATCATATTCATATCCATATTTTGAGATAGGTTATTCCATATTTAATTTATAATAAATCATGAATGAAATTAATTTATATATTTACCTTTGTAGTGATAAATAGGTCTTCTCGTTTGACTTTACCATCTTTAAAAGCTTTTTGTAGTGTGTTTCCAATGGCTTCTTCATTCAAATAAATATAAGCAGTATCGATATGCTTGTAGCCAGCATCAATAGCTGCAGCCACAGCAGTTCCAATCTCTCGTTCATGAGACTAAAAAGGGGCCAAATATCTGAAGTTTATTAAATAATAATAATAATAATAATAATAATAATAATAAACATAACAAAAACTGTAACCACTATAACCCATGGAGGGGTTATAGTTTTGGGTTCACTATTATTTAGGGAAGGTACTGGTTCTTGGTCAGCGGTCATGCTAGGAGGTGATGACTTAGATCATGCTTAACCACCAGGTTTTTCCCTTAACCGATTATTTAATTAAGGGTGCCGGCTTTATAGAGGCTGTTGTGCCCCAGGTCTTCGGACACCAGAGAAAATTCACGGCCATTGAAACAGAATAAGCAATTTATCATTGGAAACTCAGCACCCTACCACTGAGCTACCCCACTCCCCAAAATAATGATAATAAATTTACAAAAAAAAAACAACAGATTTTACAGTTTCTGCATAAAACAAAAACTATTTGAAGAGGAAGGGTGATAGCCTTTATCATAGTAAAAACTAATGTATATTCAGTGCCGATCTTAAGGCTGAACAACAGGGTAGTTGCCCCAGAACACTTGCCATATATTAGGATTTAAAAAAATAGTAAGATGAAAATGGTTAATTTTAGCCAATTAATAAAGCAACTGAATTAAATACATATTGAATGAAATAATATTCAAATATAACTTAATATAAAACAAGGTTAGAAATAAATTAAATAACTAGAATTTTTTTCTCTTGATTTCTGCAATACTCTTGTATCATTCTGCACTTCAATCTCTACTTATCTGATTGTGACCTATAAGTTATGAAATACAACATCCTACAGACATTCTTCTATCTATATCATCCGAAGATAAGTTTAATTTACGATTCCTTTATTTTATTTGTGTCGAATTATCTTAATAAGATCTCAAGATTTTTATACCCCCTGATTCAATAAGTATTTTTTAGCAGATGCTACATTATTATTGATCTTTTTGAAATGATCCAGTTGTATTTGAAGGTAGGTTAGATGCAATGGGAATCTGATCTAAATAGGCAGTACCTAAAGGGGAGGAACCAGATAAGAGAGGTGGGCAGAAAAGAGACATTTGGTGACAAGCATATCTGCCTTAATAAAATTATAACTAGCAGCAATGGCCATTTATAATGATACGATATTGAATTCTCCGAGGTACGATTTCCTGCATGGTCGCTCTCGACCTTATCCTCTGAGGGAACTCATTAAAAAAGAGAAGACTCAATAGGTCTTCCAGAAAATATGTGGCTAAGGATTACTAAAGACTGCTCTTAGGATCAGGAAAACTTATGAAATAGACATAAGTTACCTCAGCTAGCGAAGGAGCAGAATAACATTGAGTAAATCAGTAGAAAGCCCTATGGGATCCAGCACACTTTAATTTGGTACACGATTCCAAGATATTTTGACAATAAACAAACCCATTCAGACTGAGGCACTAATAATAAATGTCTGCCCAACGCCTAATGTAGGGTGAGTAGGAAGAGGCATATCTCGATATTTCTGAATATTGTTAAGCTGCTATTAGTGGTCAAGGTGGTTAAATTAAAAAAAAAAAAAAAACTGTTTCTCTACTGTGGTTTTTAGTCCAACCAACTTATTAAGTTTACCGGTCTATTATGTTTTAGTACTCTTTGGACACAGAATTTAATATGCTTTAATTTCTTAATATGCTTTAATTTCTTAATAATATTTTTTTCGTTTTTAATGCACTATCCAAGACAATAAAGTTTTTAACAGCCAAGAGTTCTCCCAGGGTGGCCCCTGTAAGCAGTTTTGTTTTTCCACACTTTTCCATTTTTGCACCCACACACACACGTGTTTGTGTGTTTCTGCGTGTGGGCGTACGTGTGTTAAAGAACGAAAGCTCTCCCTTGTTTTTTTTCATTAATCTCGGTTCTGATCCCGGACAGACTGGCTTAATATTTTTTCAATCATTAGAATAGCAGACAAAGTTCATTTTGTTAAAATAACATATATGTACTTTCATAATTAAAAACCTCCTGCTAGGAGTATCCTTTTCGGATTCTGGGAACAGAATTGCCATGGACCGAAGTTCCTCATGGAGATCGGAACCTCAGACAAATATTGGATTTGTGAAAATAAATTCTTAAACTGATTAAAAATAATTTTTGAGCTATTTTCCATAAACATTCGGCTGAAATCATTTCTCTGTATTAAAAAACAAGCAAGGTGTCGATTGAAGAGAAATTTTACTGCTTTTCCGTTTTTTAAAAATACATTAAATATTTTTTTAATTCAATTAGTGCGTTATCATTTTGAATAATTCCTTTAAGGAGACCTTTAGGCAAATCCAATCTCGGGACCAATCTTCGAAATTTGTATTGTTTATAACATGAAATTAATGGAAATTAATCAGTGCTGTATTATTTTTTTTTTATACATATTCTATTATTATTAATTAAATTTAAAAATGAATTGTTACCGGGGTTGACCAGTAGTTGAAGGTATACGTACTTAACATGGGCCAATTTTTTTTATTGTTTCTTAATTTATTTTATATTCTCCTCAGAATTAGACATTTCGTGGAAGGAAACATTTTATTACATTGTCCAACGCATTTAATATTTTGTTATTCTTTTAAATTAACCTGGTATTATTTATATTAATAAAAATTAATATAATATAAAATAATCTGGACTATCTATTATCCATTAGAGGTGTAAGGGATTCTATCACGAGAAAAAAAATTAAAATTATTAATAAAACTCACCTGCCAAGTCCCAAGTCCTATAACGGGCATCTTCATTGTCCCTGAATTTATAACGCTCAGGGGAGTCAGTTTAGGAGCCATGTTCCGATATATTTTATCAACTTTTTAAGATCTGGGAAAACTTTAATAATCTGCTTGTATAAAAATTATCCCGAAGAGAAATAAAAACCAGATTTAGTATTCCTATGATATATATACAGGAAGCAAAGATAATGAATATGACGTAGTGTCTGGGATTTTCTATATCACGGAACGTTGATCTCTCCTCTGATTGGTCCAGTCTACACACACCCACCAACCTTGGGATGACAATAACATTTACTAACTCGTGTAGAATAAACAGAATATTAAAAATGTCAACTATACATTTTATTTAATTTATTTATATATCTGTTGTGGTTACCCTAAACCTCCAATTAACTTTTTAATATTATATTATTGAGATGTGTTTTAAAGAGTGATTGCAATATAAATTTTAAGAAATCTGTAACGCATTCTTATATTAAGCGGCATAAGGATTGTAACGTATTAGTGAACAGATCTTATAATTTTTGTAATAAAGCGTGTTAACAATAATGATTTAATTTGTAATAAATATCTGTGACCCGGAAGTAAAGGACACCACATCCATTTTTTTTTATTAAATTATTTAGTAAATAGGAAACAAATTTTAACAGCTCAAAGTTATGGGAAATTGGATTCCCTGAACAAATATAAAAGTGTGATATGGTGTCCTATTCCTCTTGGGGTACAGATATTTAAATGGGCACAAGCGATTGGCATGAATATATAAAATAATTCGAAAAATTTGAACTAAAAAGGTATATATTTTGTGGGTAAAGTTATGAAATATGAACTTTTATGTGCCTTAATTTAATGTTATATTTTAAATAAACTCATGAAGCTAATTTTTTTTATATGTTAATTTGTTATTTACAATTCAGTTTATAGTTTAGTAATTATAAACAAAAGTCAAGATTACAACAAGACTTCTTTAGTAACTGGAAAGTGGCTGTTAAACTTCGTTATATTACAAATTAACGCATAATTATGATCTATTTAGTAAGGATAATATTAAAAAATTAAATGAAATAAAGATTTAAAAAATAAAAAGAGTAATGAGAAAGAGTTTTCATAAAAAGAATGGTACCCAATAAACTTTACATAGAACAGGACGAGCAACCCGCGGCCAGCGAAGGTTTGCATGCGGCTTTTCATAGTTTTTACATTTTTATTTTAATTAATAAACGTGGAACAGTTCCATTCCAGTTGTAAATGCAATCAATTGATTTAGAAAACGATATGGATTGAAGAAATACATTTTATAACATTGACATGCGTAATTTCTATCATAGTTACGTATTACGAAAAAATCCGACGAAACTAAGGAAATAATGACAATCTGGAGTCACCAGATTTATGTACAATTATTTTCAGTAATGAATATAATTAAAAGCGATCGTCGATCAATATTGAATGGTGTATAGTTAAAAATCTGCGCGTACTTTACTATGTGCCGTCTATACCTCGAAATATAGATCAATTCACAGCAAAATAGCCATTGTAAATTTAGCCATTTTTTTTTTTGTTGCATTTTCAGTCATATATCTCTGTGTATCTAATGTGTATCTCACGTGTGTATATCATATATATATGTAATGTATGTGTCAAGATTTTCTCGCAAACTAATGCCTGTGAAACAAATCAGAGCCTGCTTGTGTGCTATAGGAGCTACGCCATATGACTTGTTTTTCTATAACTGCTCCAAAATGGCTCTAACAATTTTGATGAAACTTTTGTGTAGTCTTCTACTTTAAGCCCTTTCTTACTTTAAAATGTATGCAGTGATTTCTCGTGAAACAGCAGGCAAAAAAATCATGAGAAAAGTAATTTTTTTTTGGCATAAATCAAAACAAATGCATTTTATGATCCTTCGTATTAGTAATATTTTAAAAGCTAATTAAATTCTCTGCGAAACAAAAAACATTTTTTTTTAAATTTGTAGTTGGCCTGTTTAAGTTGATCATCGCTGCTGTAGAATTTATTTACTTTCACTTGCAATATTCAAATTAGCTTTCTCCATCGTGGAGTACTTAGATTAGAAGATTTCCCTAAAATATGTATATATCATTTTTATAAACATGAATATTTTTAGTAAAGTGAATTCACATAAGTGAAATAATAAGTGTACATATTAGACGATAGATTGGACTTTAATTTGTGAAATTATAAATACTCCTTTGGATCTTTGAACCGTAGAAGATAAACATTTAATCATACCATCTCTCCTTACATAATCCACTCGTGCGAGAACGTTGCTCTAGATGAGACAGTACACACCTCTTCAAGGCCATTCTGTATCAGAATATTTTATCACTAGGCATTTACTTATACCAAGCTTATAAAATTTAAAATATATATATATATATATATATATATATATATATATATATTACATTTACAATTTAGTTTACAACATTTATAAAACTCGTTAATTGGACAATATAACGAGCATTCAATAGGTTTTTTTTTTTTTTTTTTTTGTAATAATGCATATTTGTATATAATAAGATTAATTTTTACTGTATATAATAAGATTGAATCAAACAGAAAACAGTATCTGATTCAAATATGTGATGTATTTTCAATTACATTCGTCGTCCAGTAATGATACAAAAAAAAAAAAACTCTATGGTTGGTTAATATAATTATCAAATCGTAAAATTTCCTCATAATTAGGTAAATTAAAGAAAGAATGCCTCCTGTAAAAATCTTGACTGACAAAAAGAGGTTTTTGTCTACAGAACAGATGTGGACAAATACTTTTACAAAAATTTAGACAGATGGTTAATTTTCTATATCAATTTTCAATGTTGATAAATATATTTTTATTTGCTTATGTATTTTTTTGGATGAAGAAATAGGTCCAAAAATTTTCTAATTAATTGTTTTCTAAATAAGAACTATTGTTTTAAAATTTCAAAATTCTTTAATGCAAAAAAAAAACAAACAAATATTTTAAACTTTCTTCTTCATTTGTTTTATAAAATTTTAAAAATTAAAATAGTTTTTTAGCTTATTATAATTTAATTGAGATCCAATTTAATCAGATGATGTTTTAGCTCCAATTTAGTTCATATGAATGACAAGATAACATTAATGCAAATCTGAAAGCTTCCATCTCTCATCAACAAAACTCTAAAAAGAGGGATGTAACGGCTCTCTTTTGTGACTCTGCTTTAACTGTTCTCTCAGGTCCGTATTGATGTGTTCTTATCTTTTTCCGTTCTGATGATACCCAAATTGGAGAAACTGTAACTAATTATTGTTGAACCTCTATTTTTGGATGGATAAATAATAGACTAGGACAGATAATTCTAAATATTAAATTTATTTCAAAATTTACAATATATAAAAGTATAAAATTAAATACAAACATATTTATATTATACATATTGAATTCGTTCCTTACATACAAATCAACACAAGTCGTTACATAGTATCAACACAATTATTCTTATTTTATTTACACTTTTTTATTATTGCACGTGCTTAACATGCAATACGTTTTATGATTCGATTATACAATTATAAATATTTACATCATATTAGTTCTGTGTTTCAGAACTGTATTTGGTATACATAGCTACGGACAATATAACAATTTTGGTTCCTGAGTTTTACAGTCCTCAAATCCAAGATTAAAAAACCTTAGAACTGTTGAAATTTTTATTTTCCATGAAGATTTCATATTTTTCTAATTCGTATGTAGTCCGTTCATGATAAAATTAAAAAATTGATTTTCAATATAATGGACGAGATGACAGCTAACCTCAACCCCTTTCCGCATTATTTATATCGGCTTTATTTGATTAGAATTTCTTCGTGAAGTAGGCGAGAAGTAAGTAAGCTAAGGAAGAGGAAGTGGACTTCAGCAAAGCAGTTCCGGTGGGTTGTGACATGGGTGACTGGACCTCCATGATCGGGAATCGACCCAACTAGCTTGCATCTCCTGTGTCAGGGTGAGTCTAGAACTTTTTTTAATAGCTTTCCCATTATTCAATTTAGTGCGCATGAGGATGTTACACGGACAATTAGCGGTTCTGAAAGTCAGCTGTCAAGTTACGCATTTTGTTGACAGATTTTGAAAACTCTTTACTCATTTGCATTTCGAGGAATCTCAAGGGATAATTAGATTATTGATAATTTTTAACTGTATACTGGGTCATTGAAACATTTAATATATTGAAGATGGAAAAATAAAAATACGTTTCTCACGACTTTTAACTACTTGACGTATGTTAAATATACAATTTGAAATCTCTAAAAAAAAAAAAAAATTGTATATAAATAGTTCACACAATTAAAAGATTCAAAGATTAATTTAAAAATTATAGTTATTCAAATATACACACAGATATTATAATTATTCAACTGTTATTTTTTCTTTTTTTAAAGATACAAAAGATTATTACTGCTACTGGAAAGAACAGACAATCAATCAATATATAAAAAAATGTATGTTGAGAGTATATAAAGTGGTATGGATTCAAACACAAAATTCTAACTAAAGTAATCGATACATTGAATCCTATTTATGATTTTTTTAATAATATACGTTTTAAGAAGTATTATCAAGTGACGACAATTTAGCATGTAGTATTTCTAAAATTATTTTAACTATTAATAAATTTATTAATTTTTTATATTTAAAATCATTTGGCTTATATTCGTATATTTGTCTCCATGTTTTAGATCAGTGGAGAACTGTGATTTCTAAAAATTTTAATATCCATCTCAAGTGAAATTTTTAACATTTTATAAATCCATATTTTTTCCTTTAACAATTCATTCATATGCCATTCAAATAAAAATCATCATACTGAAGTAAATGGTGATGACAAGATGAAGCTCTGCCAAATGAAGCCTGAAAAATACTAATTTACATGAGAAGAAACTGTTAAAAAAAATTCTGAAATGATTGAAGTAATTAATCGTAGTAAAATAATAATAAACTGTTAAGTCAATATTATATATGCATATTATTAAGTTTCATAATTATATGTTGATGGTTAACTTCACAGATATAAATAGTAATAATCAACAAAATGATGGAACACATTTAGAAAATGTCAAAATCGAGGTTTTTATAAATGTTTTAAGTGAGAAACTATAAAAACCTAAATAAATCGATGTGCAAAGATAACTAATAAATCAGGAATTGCAGGATGTTGTCAAATTTAATTTTTTTTTACTTGTAGCTACACAAATTAGCACTAACAGCATCTGTGATTTTAACCATTATATTAATGATGTCTTATATATTGATGTTTATGCACTGTAAAAATAAATTATAAAAGTAATAAAATAATTGCGAATTTAATATCTGTGCACCTTTGAATTCATGATATTATCAGTCGTATACAACTTCAAAATGAGTCTGGAGAAAGAAGTGTATATAAATTAAAATAATTTATTGACATGAAGACTAGCATGAAAGAAAATAGCATTTCAGAACTCATTAATATGAATTTGAAAATTTCAGTCTAATGATATCTCTATACGTAAATTTTAATGATATTCATTTTTAACTGAAATGTTAAAATAAATATTAATTACTTTGCTAACCACGTTTATAAAGAAAAATTAAGATTGTGAAGAAATAAAGTCGCAAGATTTTGAGGCAATGGGTTTGATTTCTATTAAAAATCAAGGGTCTGATAAAGAAGAAAAATCAAAATATATTTAATCTTAGTAAATCCTTATTATATCCCATTAAAAATTCTATGATTATAGAGCTATCAATTACTAATATTTAAATCTCAGTTCATCACGTTTAATAATGATTAGTTAAATCATCAGTCTAATTTGCCCTGTTTTTAATTTTATCGTTCATTAGATTTAATGCCCAACACTATATTTATCTAAAAATCTATATTTATTAGACAAAATTATACATTTTGTCATTCAGTATCTTTATTTTCCAAAAGTTTAAATTCAGTCATTCAGGAATTTCAAACCAATTTAAATTAAATCTGATCCAGTAAAACTATATGGGACGTATCATGTTTTCATCTAAAATATTTAGTTGTGAATATTGGTCAATCGAGTTGAACTAAAACCATTTATCGATAGTTACCTACATAGACAAAGAAAATTAGTCTACAAATAGCTTAAAACTAAAAAAGAAATATACAACTTTTGACTTTTTATCTTTGAATTTTTTCCATTTAATGGAAGATGTATTCCATTCAGTGGACGTTGCTATAAGAACGTTGACAGCCTCACCATTTTGTCATGTCGAATTAGGATTCCTTGAAAGTGTTAAAAGTCCAAACTCGCCACATCTGATAGCTTGACTCCTACGTGCTTGTGAACGACGGCATTGAATCCGTTGATTTTGTCAGCCGTGTACCTGACGGTCCGTATGGTACCGTCTGGTTCCACTAGGCTGTACTCTCCGCGCACCTTGTCTCCATCACGTTCTTCTTTGACTGTCTTCATGTCCCCGGTATGAGGGTCTTCGACGCCGTATTTGTAGGAGTACTTGGGACGTGACTGGAACAAGAATTATCATAAATATTAATTAAATCGTCCATCCAGGAAAATATCATCTCGTCAATGGTTATTTGAATTGCATCTTTAAGGTTATTTAAAATGCACAATTACAAAATAATTAATCCAAGATTTCATCACATATATCATAAAATTAAAAAAAAAAATACAAAGAAGAAGAGTTGGTTGGGGTGAAGAGACACAAATAAAAAAAGAAAAAATAAGTAAATTATATTTGTTTTTATTTCTCCAACGTTTCTGCCCATGGTTCAGGCCTTTATCAGGGCTAACAAAAGACAAGATAACGAATATATACGAGAAACTAGTAAACGGTAGAAACATAATAATATGTAGAGCAAAGTTAGGATATAGGATATAGGAATAACGGTGAAAAAGATTTGGAACTTAAGAAATAAATAATAACAGTATATTGGTTCCTAACCTTTTTTTTACCGTTTTATTATGTATCCTAACTATTTTCTTATCTATTTTCTTTATTATGTTCTACATATTACTATGTTTCTACCAGTTACTAGTTTCTCATATGTGTTTGTTGTCTTAGCCCTAATAAAGGCCTGAACCTTTGGCTAAAATGTCGGCAATAAATAAATATAATTTATTTGTTTTTTAATTTTTCACTTGTGATAGCTCGCCCAAACCAACTCCTGTTCATTATTATCACGACAGTCAACTATTAATTCACTATTATAAAAAATATAAAATTTAAATAATAGGCTATACATACTTTTATATATTGAATTATAGCTGTATTGTATTGGGTATAACCATTAAAATCTTAAGAAACTTGGCAATTGAGGATCAGGGGAATAAATGGTGTTAAAAAAATTAGGAGAAAGCTTTAGATGCTTGCCGGAATTATCCTGTAATGGTGCGTCTCGTCCGTGCGCCAAACATATGTTTTAATCAAGAAAAACATAGTTTTTATAACTTTTGAAATTATTATGAGCACATTTATCTAATATTTATTACGCTCGAACACCTCGTTTGGAACAGTACGGGAGATAATGTAATCTAAGGCGAAAGTTCGCATCTTTTTGAAGAAAACATTTTGTCACACATTTCTATAATGTCCACTCTCACCATTTAATTTAAACTTGTCAAATATTACAAAAAAATATAATGGAGAAATGGGCTTCTTACTAGATTCAATTTTTCAAAAATATATATTATTATTTTTAAAAGGTTTCTTGTATTTTTAGTGGAAATAGTTTCATGATAAATAAAATGGTATATTAAATGAAATTCTAAGTTAAAAATAGTCTACTTACGTAGAAATCTATGGCGTGTTTCTCATCTCCGGAATGATCCTTCTCAAGGTGCCCTTCAGAACTATCAATAACCACTGGCTGTACTTTACCATGTTGCCTGTGCTCTTCCAAGTAGCTGAGAGCTCCTGGAGCTGCATAACCATGTTCCTCAGGTGATAGATAACCTTGTGGTTCTGGAGCAATGTAGTTATTTACTTCGGGTGCTGCATAACTTTCAACCTCTGGATAACTGTTTATCTCTGGATGTGGATAGCTGTGTGCTTCCGGTGTTGGATAGTTGTGTGCGTCCGGTGCTGGATAGCTGTTGATTTCTGGATTTGGATAGCTGACAATGTCAGATACTGGATGGTTATTTATTTCAGGAGCTTGATAGCTGTTTACTTCCGATACTGGATGACTATTTATTTCAGAACCTGAGTAGCTGTTTACTTCCTGCACTGGGTGGCTATTTATTTCAATATTTGGATAGCTGTTCACTTCCGATAATGGGTGGCTATTTATTTTAGAGTTTGGATAGCTGTTCACTTCTGGTGCTGGATGACTTTTGACCTCAGGTGCTTGATGGATGGTGACCTCAGGTGTGTGGTAGTTATCGGTTTTAGGAGCTTCATCTTTCTTTACATCCTCCACTGGTGCAACGTAGTCCTTGGATTCTGTTGCGGGTATGGAATGTCCCTGCTGAGCAGGATACCTGTTTTCCTGCTCTGACTCAAAATTACGGATATAAGAGGGCACGTTGTAATTGTGCTCGTCTGGAGTGGCATAGTCATGGACATCCGGGCTTGCGTAGTTATGAGCCTCTGGATTGGAGAAGTCGAGACTGTCTGGTGAATAATTATTGGTCTCAGGGGAGGCGAAGTGATTTTCTTCCGGGGATGCGTTCTGTTTTTCAAAGCCCAAATCTTGATTGTTTTCATCCTGAAAGGACTCAACAGAACCGAAGTCGTCACCGAAGGAGCTCTGTCCTTCGAATCCTCCGAAATTCTCTCCACTAAAAGTGGCCGCTTCTCCACTGTGCTGAGGATAGGCGCTTACCATACTGGCCAGGCATACTACACTGATGAATATTATCTGTAACATTAAATAATTTCATGGCTTGAAGATGGTCTTAATTTATAACATTTGATTTTTTTTATATTTAATATAGATTCGTTTATTTTACTAAAATTAATTTTTTTTTTATTACACAACAACATAATTTTGGTTATAACTAATTTTGTTATAAGAACTTTTGAGCAAATTATTGCCATAACAAATACTACAACCATGGAGTAGTATACTTTATAGTTTTTAAAGACGGTGTTATTTGAAATTTTAAAACGGCTAATAAAAGCGGAAGGGTCATATTATTTATTTAAAAAAAACATTTGTATTGTACATAGAGTGTGAATGTGATCTGTGAACTCTATTATAGATGTCCTAGAGACAGATTGTAATATTTTTAATTAAATAAGTTTTAAAAAAACAAAAAAAAATTTTGTTAAAAAGATTTTTTATTGTTGAAATAGAGTTGTAGAAATATTGTGGCATTTTTAAAAACCTTAATTTATTATTTATGTAATGTACTACCAGTGTTTTTTGTTAGGTAGAAAAGAGCTATCCGATTATGACATTTCCAATTGCTAAGATTTTATTTTTCTTTGAACAAGTGATTTGAAGTTTGATATTGAACTGCAATGATTATGCTTGCACGTATTACGAATTGCTTTGTCTGGTACATAGCAGCGTCTTCGGTTAATGGTTTCGTCTAGCCTCGAACCGTTATTATTGATTCTACTCTTCATTCCAGAGACGGTATTTCTTACGCCCATCCCTGTGTGCCCCTATACAATATATTTTCAATACCTCTCCACTTAAGTAAATTTTTTTTTATTTTATGGACACTTTTTTTTCTTTCTTCTTTACTAATAAATTGTTTTGTAAGGAATAAATTATAAGTTTCTATATATTTATATTATTGACAATGAAAATCGAAAACAACCGAATTCCTAAGAAGTACACCGTACACTACCTTGGACTAACCTTTGACAGAAGGATGACATGAGTGCCCACATGTTAAACTGTAACGGAAGACCCTCAATAGACGACTCAAACTACTTTACTCACTCTTTTCCAAATCTTCAAATCTAGAACTGAGACAGAAACTAAAAACATACCTATACTTACTTAAACCAATATGGACTTACTCCTCACTGATATATTACGACTTATAACTAAAGCATCTTGGTTACAGTTGACCAACACATAAGAACGCTCTGTGATTTAGAACGATTTCACAATAATTTATACGGACGTACTAACATACAAGTCAGAGATATGGCTTCAGTTGACATACCAATCAATATGAGAAGGAGAATAAAAAGGGGCTGGTGGATAAGAGACCTCCTTCCTTGACAAACCTTGGTAATTGATTCAAGCCAGAGAAGAGATACGGCTGTGTGCTATCCTTCCCCATGCCTGACATGTCAGTTTCATTACTTTAATCAGACCATCTGCTGATTGTTAACAGTTGTCGACAGGTATACATTAATATTCGAAGATAAAAAACAAAACAATATAAGTTATAGAATCTTTTTTGAAATATTTGTTGAAGTTAAGAGCTAAATTTGTTTTTTCTCTGTAGTGAACATTTTTTATAATTTGATCAACCGGGATTTGGTGTAGATTCATTTAAAATAAATAACGAATAACAAAAAAACCATAATAAAAATAAATGTGTTTTATATAAATATAAAAAACTTTATGAAAAACCCTTTACAACTTGACAAAATAAACAACCGTAAAATTGTGAATACTATAGCGGTTTTTATTCCACTAAACTATTCCGTGCTGAATAACTTATGTAAAGTTAATAAGACACTTAAAATGGATCGTGCCTTTTGCCTCTCTTCACTTTCTAGGCACTGTTGGCTATGTTTTTAGTTCAGCTCTACTTATATCTTTCTACTTAGTCTGCACTAATTTGTCTTGTTATGGTTTGTATAATTACGAAGCACCGTGTAATTATTTCTTTCATTACTTTCTCGCATAATATGTACAAGAAATTAATTTTTAAGCTCTTTAAATCAGATTAATCTCTAATAATATGAATAAAGAGTTTCACAGATAAAATGTCCGCCCCATTTAAATTCTAGAATCATTAGAAGAATAACTTTGGAAGATTTCTGGTGTTAATTAGAAGCTTACTGTGACGAATTCAAATAGGGCACTTCTTTTTATTCAACTCGTTCCGTAAGAGCTAATTGTAAATAAAGCAAACTCGGTTTTAACAGGGTTTTTCTAGAGGAAAATATTTTTTTAATATAAGAGTAACAGTTGTGGATAATAAGATTGAAAATGGACCTACATTCTTTCCAGAACGCTTCTTAAGAAATTAGAAATAATAAATAAGAAACAGGGAAATACATTATTAAAAAAAATCTTGAATGATTATGATGGGTGAAAGAAGGCACATTTCAAATTGATTTTGATCTTACACAATTTTAGGTTTAAAAATGCTCTCCTAAAGATCGTGTTTGTATTTTTTAGAGTAGCATCAAAATAGAGGCCGATTTTAAATCGTTTTAAAATTTCATTTAAAAAAAAAATCATATGAAATATTAAACTTTGAGACTCTGGAGGAATACTACCGCAGATTACTAAGTCGATTTTATATATATGTGTGTGTATTTAGAAATATTTTATTTTAAATTATCTAATTCAAATTTTTAAATGGCGTGTCAATAAAGGAATATGCAATGTTTAAAAAAGTTTAAATAACAAAAAAGGAAGATTACTTTAAAAGGTGAGACATTAATTAAATAAATATGGCTAAATAGTGGTAAAACTATTTTATTGAAAGCCGACATTTTGACCCGACTTTGCAGGCCTTCTTCAGGGAGGTGTGTTCAGTTTCCCTTAGAACTGAACTGAAACGTCGGCTTTCAATAAAATAGTTTTATCACTATTTATGACCGCCACCCCGCACCATCTTCTTCCTTTATTAATTAAATAAATTTGTTGGAGTTATGTAATATATAAAGTATAAATCAATCTAATCAGTATTTTAAATAAAATAAAATGATTTAAGTTTAAATGAAAAAAACAAAAACTTAAATACCAAAAATCTAATGGGCTAAAGGTTTATGAATTGTTTTTTAAATAAGTCGTATATTTTTTAAATATCTAATACAACACAAATATATTTTAAAAAATTTCATTCACAACTCATTCATTCAACTCATTCATTCAACTCATTCACAACTCACAACAATTTCATAGTATCATAAAATACTATTCTATATTCCTTTTAGATTGAATAAAGGTTATTTGATATTTTAAAAATATTCTTCTTCAATATGGCACATGGTTATAGGCCGAATATTGAATATATTATTGACAATTTTTTGTAATAGTCATGGTTTATTTGTTTTATTAATTACTTTTCCGGCATAGATAACTTGTATAATTTCCCAAATGTGGTATATTCACAAGTTATTTTAGAAATATTTATTCATTCACACAGCTGCTATGTTTATAAATGGCTCCTTAGTAATTTTTTTGTATTCACTGTTGATTTCTGAATTTTGACTTCGAAGATATGATGTTAAGATGATGAAAGTACTTGAAACCTTATGAAACCTACAAATTGTACTTGAAATCTTATGAAATAGTAAATGATTTTACCAAACTATGTATATACATATAAGTGTAACTAAATAAACAACATATTTTTTAAATAATTAAGATTTATAAAATTTCTATATTAATAATGGGACATTATTTTCCCAATCACTAAGACCCCTTATACAGATTCGTTTCGTTTGGGAAGGATAAATGCTTGGGAACTTGCGCAAACATACAATTAGTTAACATGCTTTGCCATGGTAAACCAATCTGCCTTTCCAATTCTCAACGTTTCCTGGATCCCTTTTTAACGTGTTGACTGTAGCACGTTATGCAAGAGGATGAATGGACAAAGAGTGGTTTTTCACAGGCCGAGGTGATTTCCCGACCGTGGAAACTGTAGCGCACCCATATGTACGTGATCACGTGCAGGACACATTCGCACTGTTTATATAATGTTCACTCTCAAAGGAGCGCATAACCATGTACAACACGTTCCAATCATAGGTGTCGTATGGCTCTCAGCAATGTGAAAAACCTCTGAATTCCCACAGATAAGCCGCTGCAACAGTGTTGGATATACTTCTTATCATTCTGCGTTTACCATTTCATTTCCACATTGGTAACATAGTACTAAAAGAATACTCTTATATAAATTAGTTTTGAAAATAACAAGAATTAACTATTCGCGAACATATAGCAACAATATTAAGAGAACTGGAACAACTCAAAATTAACTTTAAACGATCTTCATACATATCACACATCCAGAATGATAGTCATGCAACAAAATATTCCTAACGTCAGATATTTTTATGATTGGAACTCTATAATCAATTCTAAAGAGCATCCAGTCATCAAACATTAGATCAGATCCAATGGCCACATTAGGTAATTTACCTGCAATATATCAAGTCATCCCAAGATTAATGTAGGTTTTTAAAAATCAGTCTGTTTATGTTGAATTACTAATTCTTACATACCCGTTTTGTTTATTATAACATACCCCTCCATTTATCTTATTTTTATTGGAGAAAGTTAATTATTCTGTGCTGAAATTCAACTGAAATGGATCTCCCCAAATACCACTTAAGCCATGTTATGCTTTGGGAATGAGATGAAGATGAAAATACTGATTCAACTTACTGGAAAGTTGCAGAAATATATGGGGGAAAAGCCATTAGTCAACGACAGTGGTTAAGTTCTTGAGAGACACCGAGAAGAGAAGCAAGAGGAGAGCTTCATCAGAAAAAAAGTAATTCTGTCTGTTTAGTGGTGTATGTAAAGAATCCTTCATCATTAATTATCCGATCTTAACCAAACTATTACTAAAGATCTCTACTGTAATCAGCTGGATCAATTGAAGCGGTCAATTTAAAAAAAAAAAGTTCCTTACTCATCAATAGACGAGGCATTTTATTCCATAAGGATAA